GAGATATCAGTATGGGGTACCACCCCAAGAGCAAGATCAGGGCATGGGCATGGTGGGTAGTAGTTTATTTTCATCAAGTAGATTAAGTCTTCACCTCCCAACCCTTCTTTCATTGCATTTTCTTCTAGCCCTATTCCTTTTGATAGAAATCCAAGCAATTTGTTTGCCACCTCTATCAACATTTGTGTGTATTGCTCATTTGTTTCTCTAGGAATCCCATACATACAAATAAGGAAAGAAAAAGTATCAATTAATCTCTCAGTAACTGATTAGACCAAACCAAATTAGATCAGTATATCTATAACCCATCTGAAGATGGAGTTTGAGGGTGAGATGTACACATACATGTCCTCAACCTCAGAGTTGACCGGAATTTTCTATGAAGATTTATGGTTTGTGAGAGTGTCTGAACAATATGTAATATAATAAAAATGTAATAACTTCATACACATTCTTTTGTCCTAATTTTTAATTTTCTAAATAATAAATATATTTATCATAATTTATAAAAATTACCCTTTAAAATAATGCTTCTTTTTCCCCTTAAGATTTTTCTTTAAAGTAATTTGGGACATAGTAAACAATTAAATGTAATTATGTATTTCATGATTGTCATTGACTTCTTTTACATTTTACCTACTTTTTATTTATTCATTAAGTCATTATCAATAAATATAAATAGTTAGAAATTGTCTGATTGATTTGAGCTTGGACTTCAAAAGTCAAAAGTGTTTGGTTGTCCCAGGTTCGAATCTAAGAATGAATAAAAATTCTCTTGTGGCTACGGAGGTTCAAATGCGATGACTTCAGGCTACTCGTAAAATAGGTGGTCACCCTAAGATTAGTCAACTTACCTAGCGGGTTGGATATCCAAATTAATAAAAAAAAATGGTTGAAATTGCCCCTTCTAGATGTGAGTATGCACTCGAGTTTCATACCTTGTGAGTACATACATATATTTTTAGAGTTATTCTCTTTGGGTTCATTTTTTATCTTTTCTTATAATTGTGGATGCCCCAAGTAACTAAATGTGTATTATGTTTATATTGGGAATCAACTTTCAAAACTTCTCATTTCGTAAACTGAATCAGAAAGCTTTGTTTTTATCTCTATTTTGGAAACATGAATTTGGTAAGAAGTCACTTAGAGGAGGACTTTTAGAAGTTGGTTTTGCAAAATAAAAATGAAAGTAAAGTTAGATTTCATTTTGATACCTATTTATAACTAGGGATAGCCTTATGTATGTTTGAACGGGCTTTCATGCATCCGTTTAACTTATTTTCGTAAGTAGGATCTTTTTTAAGGTATGAAAAGTGCACCCCTCAAATTATTTACGTAAGTAGGATCTTTTGAGGTATGAAAAGTGCACCCCCTAAACATTTAGGGGTGCTCTGAGATGTTAAAAATACAAGAACATTAACCAAAAAACTGGAAAAAAGAGTATCCCAAAATCAACCAAAAAACCGAAAAAAGTACCTCAAAATCAACCAATAACAATCCCTCAAAATCAACCAAATTCTTTTAGAAGTCCCACAAACCGGTGGAATTCGGCTAAAAACACATCAGGTGATCTTACAGGCTTTCATCTACCTTAAAGTTCAGAAAAACTCTGGATCTGTCACTGTTTATAAAAATTCTGGATCTGTCACTGTTTATAACGAGTTTTAAAAGTTGGACGGGTTATTATAATTTTTAAAGTACAATAATCAAATAAGAAATGAAATAAAATAGTATTATTATCTATTACAATTTGTTTGTGGAATTCCGCCTTTCACTTCTTATACTCAAATCTCATTTCTCTTTGTTTTCTATGAAAATGAACTTACCCGATTTTGTTGAAGTGATTGAAAATAATCTGCAATATATTATTAATATATTGTCTACTGAATACTACAATGAATAAAACGATTACCATCTGGTTTCTATGCGACTAGTTAAAGATTGTACGTTATAGAAGCCAAGCTAGTAACATTAATGAGAAACCCAATTTTAAGGAATTGACGAAAATCTATAACCCACAATTTTAGACGACATTGCATGTACTTTTGAGTAGAGATGCTTATTAAGGTCCAAAACCTGAAACCTTAATTCCTAAGGGTTAAACACCAGTTAAAAGCAAGAGTTAGGACCAATTATAAGACAATAAACGGTTAAAGCCTAAAATTGAGACTAATTGAGTCTCAATGTGGGACTGATTAAAATAAATAGCAACAACACACACATGTGTGTAGGGATTGGTTCGGTTGAGAACAGTATTTTCATTGCGAACCGGACAATCTTCAAGATGCGCCACGTGTTTGGGACATTATCATGAATGTCGTAAGAAAATCCGTATCCAGTTTTCATGAAAAATATGGACACATGACAGGTTCTGATGGTTCTCTAATTCGCAATGGAAATATGGTTCTCAAACTAATTTTCTAGTATATATCTATGTATTATAGATTATAAAAAAGTTGACTTTTCTAAATCGAACCAAGTTGGTCAAGGACTAAGGCCCACTACGGACTAGTTAAGGATCAACGACTTTGAAGCAATTAAGTTTATAAACAAAATGTTAAATACACGAAATAGTAATATACTTTCAAAAAAAATATTATTATAACATTGTATTTTCATTTTTCCTTATTCCAACAATATATTTCTAAACTGTTTTTTATTAAAGCATTATACTTTGAAAGTTTACCCGTTATATCAATGAGTAACCTTTTTAATTTGAAATAAGATGAAATGTCACAGATTATCAGGTTGTCATACCATGTCATCGTCCATGTGGGACGTCCACATGTAATGTATTGTTGAAGTGACATTTCTTATTACAATATTGTACTTTAAGAAAAAAATTAACTTTACATATCTATACTATATTATAAAACATTTGATAAAAACTCTTAAAATCTATTTTTTATACATTAAGTACTGTTTATTGATACATATTACTTAAAATTAAAAATTACAAGTAAATTATGCATAACTACAACTTGTTTAAGCCTCATGTTTGAATTCATGTAACTAACTGCAGATAAACATAATCAAATAGAGGATAAACATCTCATTTTAAATATAAAAAATCTAAAATATAATTAGGATAATCATCGAGTTCTAACAAAATACTTAATTATTATCTTTATAAAAAATTATATTTTTAAACAAAAATAAAAAAAATAAATTAAAGAAATACAGGAAAAGAGCGAGAAATTTTAAATAATTAGTTTGGTACTAATATCAATTTTTTTTTTCATTTTTTTGATATTTTGATGTTTATATTTTATTCAAAACTTAAAAACATTATCATTTTCTCAAAATCACATAAAACCTTATTATAATGTCGACTTAGACAAAAAAAAAATCAAAATCGAGATGTATCTCGCTGTATTGTGCGAGTACCCTTCTAGTTATTTAATAAGTATATTAATTTAATTATAAAGAATTAAAATATTCATCAATTTAACAATATTAAGTATAATCTATATTGCTAACATTTCAGAAAAACCGTTTAATAATAAATTTAAAAAATAATAATAATAAGAATGGATGAAATTAGAGTATAAGAGATAGGTAGGGTTGATGAAAGAAACCTGTAAGAAGGAGGACTGTGGGGCCAAAAGTGATAGTTAATGGCAGAAGGTGGCCAAACCCTATGAAACAAGTGATCCACCCACCCTTTCTTCCCTTCCACCTCCTTCTGCAGCTTCGTTCCATAACCTTCAAGAGCTTCATTGCTTGCAGGTTTGGCTATGGCTTCCTTCTCTTCCTGTGGCAGCTCAAAGAACTCTTTTCCTACTTTCTGTAACTTGCTTATGACTTCATTTGGTATCCCATGGTTAACCACCTGAAAGATTCCCCATTCTCTGCTGGCTTCTGAGATGGAGCCCACCAGTTCTCCGGCATCAGGGTGGCTGAGATCGATCACCGGAACCTCCAGTACCACCCCATGGATGGTGGTGCTTGCTGGTTGCTCACCCACTGGTCTTATGTACTCGCTTGGGATTGTGCCCTCTAGGTTCGAGACTGAGGCTATTTTCTGAACTCTCTCCACCTCCATTTTTTATTTATGTCTTGTGTTTTTGCTATCTTTCTTCATGTATATATACACACATATATATACTACTACGTTTCAAATGCAACCCATTATATTTGTACAACCAATGCAACTCAATAAAATTGAGATGTTTATGGAAATGATAAGAGTTCATTTATTATAATTTGAATATTTATGGAAGATGACTAACATTCCTTAATTATGATCAGTACTTTATATCGGAAAACAATTAAAACTTTTATGAAATCACATATTCATCAAATTAAATGAACGGTTAAGATTGAGTTGTACAAATGTAAAGAGTTGCATAATAACTCACCTATATATATGTGTGTGTGCGTATATATATATATATAGGAGCCTAATCAAATGAGAACTGTTTTGTTTGTGGTAACTGTAAGATCTGATCTCAATCACAAATCAAAGGTTAAATTAAGAAATTAAATATTTTTGATAATTTTAACTTAAAATATTAATTAAGAGCATATTAGGGATTTTATATATATCCTCTCTCATCTCTTCTGTTTCCTCTCTCCTGCGAAGCTTATTCAGCGAATCTTATTCCGATAAATCTTATGTGAACACAACACAAGATAAACATTGTGATACCTACAAACGATATTCACTGTGATACTCATATATACATACAAGATGCACAATGTGATACCCTTTATAAAACAATCAAAATAACGAAAATATACACTATAATATATTTCATAAAACAAAGAAATACATTGTGAGAAACGTGTAAAGTTGAAAAGGGTTATAAGAAAAAGCCTAAAAAGTAGACAACAGTTAATGAAGGAAAGGAGTGAAAAGGGGTGGGTAAATGCACCCCTATGCATTACTTAATGCACTTCTATCCATGAATTTCTTCCTCACACATATCAACATCAATACATGCTTTTTACATTTCTAATATTTGAATGACCTGATTCTGACATGAAAAAGGGTGCCATTAGCACTCCCTAGTAAAAAAGATGAAGGTCAAACTTTGAATCCCTAAATGGCATCGAAAACATTGATTTGATGTGTCAAATACATGATTACATGAGCAAAGAAAGTTTAGACGGAAAATACCTGAGTAAAGAAAGTTTAGGCTTGTGTTGAAAGTGGTTTCATTTGATCACAAAAAGAGTATGAGGATGACGTGGTTGAATAGGGTCCCTTCGATACAACTACCAAACGCATTTAGGATCGGAGGTAATGTGGACTCAACTACCACATCAACCTAATCATACCCCACACATCTTTATCATTTCATATCATAAAGTTTTATGTGAATTTTGTAAAATGTGACCCAATTATTTATCTCATTTAGTTATCAAAACAAATCTATAAATAGGAAATTGGTATTTTAACAATATTTCACGCATTTGCTTCTAAAATATACCGAAATAATCCTATGTCTTAAGGATTGGTCTGTAAGCTTCATTTTTATATTATTATTTTTATAAAATTACCAAAACGACCCTATATTTAGAAATCGGTATATTA